TTTGGTTTTTAAATTTCACGTCAAAATAAATATCCAGTCTAAATTATCAGTCTTGTTATTCTTATTACATCATATACAAACTTATATCATAAAATTAGAAAGAAAACACAATAAAAGAAATATCCTACAATAATCTTTGTTTTGAGTAAATTTAAACAAAGTTCCGTTTACCTTTACTATACGTATTCCAGTCACCCAGAGCTTTAAGGAAAGAGGATCCTCTGCACACAAGAATTTGATGCTTCTACAGGATTTTATCTGGATTTCTGGATGCTGATAAGTAGGTTAAAAATAATATGAACACACAACACTTTAACATAAAACTAGGTGCGAGTAATTAGATTAAACAAAAATCGTGTTAATAACATGTTAACATAGACGAACAAATGAAGAGTAAATCAAGAGAGAAGCATTTCTTTGTCCTAAACGTGAAATAAATTGTTTATGTTGAACAATCAGTTTTTCCAAATGGATAAAACAGAAGCAGTAGAATATTAAATGGGTAAAGAAAAGGTTTTCAAAGTTTCATATAGAATGTCTTTATATAGATAATCAACAGCAATACTAACAAATGATCTCAAGGTATTTCTTGCCCGAGTCATAAATTAATCATCATTATTGACCACTTTACAATTTTATGTAAGTGTTTTAAACCTGTTTATATTGATCTATTTATCAACAAGGATATTTCTATCTACACTAAAGCTTGACTTGTGGGTTGATGAATCTTGCTTTGGGTATACAAGCTTAAACATTCATTCACCAAAAGTATTAAATGATGATCTCTCTATTATAGCATCTGGGAAAGTCTAGGTTTTTAAAATGTCCCCATATCCCACTCTGTTACTTGAAATATATTCCTTAAGCCTTTGAATAATAGAACAATGAGAGTTTTTCCTTTGTTATAAAGTTAAGCCTATTTTAACTAAGGATGTATTTTATAGAAAATATTTTTACAAATCAAAACTATAAAATATTTCAGTTAACTTTATTTCAAGTTACGTACTTTCATTAATCATAATATCTTCTATCAATGAAAAAGTTGTGCTGGTAATAAAATTACACTTTTGCTTTACAAAATTTTTGTAAATAAAAATATCAAAGTTTTGCTACACACATTCTAGATGAGTGTTTCTCAACCAATGGTCTGTTAGATTTCACAAAAACAAACAAATAAAAACTGAAAAAAATATTAATAAATAAATCGTTATGGTTTTTCGTTGTACTTGCTTTTTAGTGGTCAGCAAGAGTTTCGAGAAAGGAAGATCTTGTTATTGAAAAACACATTTCTAGATGCTACAGATACAAAAGGCCTAACTGCTAACAGAAAATGAAAAATAAATACCTTTATTGCAAATCCAAAATCAGTAGGTGCTTTGTACTTCTTTCTCCAGTTAAAGCCTTTGTACACATGGTTCACATCAAAGTTGGTGAGGCACACCAAATCTTTGGAAAGCTACTCAGAATATCAAAAAAAGTGTCACAGACGCAATCACAACATATATAATGTTGTACGATCTTTTACGATGCTTGATAGCCTGAAAGAAACTAAGTCAATCAACTGACTTGTACAACACAATGGTAGAAAAGTTACTGTTACAATCCTACAAATGAGAGAATCTTTACCCTTGGATCGGTACATACAAAATAAAAATCCCTCCACAAGGATATCTACAGACTAACTGAACTTATAAAAACAATGAAGTGTGTTTCATTATGTTGTTATTTTACTGAATCTTAACAAACCCTCTCCATAAATACTTTAAATATATGAGATCCTTGAGCTATCAGCAGAACACTCAACATGAGGCTCTCAGTTACAGGAAATAAGTTTAAAAACCAAAGTTCATGAGTCTGGCTCTGAGTTACATGAAATAAGTTTAAAAACCAAAGTTCATGAGTGTGGCTCTGAGTTACACGAAATAAATTTAAAAACCAAAGTTCATGAGTGTGGCTCTGAGTTACAGGAAATTTTAATAACAAGACTGATATTTGAGACTGGATATTTATTTTGACTTGTTTAATAACAAGACTGATAATTTAGACTGGATATTTATTTTGACTTGTTTAATAACAAGACTGATAATTTAGACTGGATATTTATTTTGACGTGTTTAATAACAAGACTGATAATTTAGACTGGATATTTATTACGACGTGTTTAATAACGAGACTGATAATTTAGACTGGATATTTATTACGACGTGTTTAATAACAAGACTGATAATTTAGACTGGATATTTATTTTGACTTGTTTAATAACAAGGCTGATAATTTAGACTGGATATTTATTTTGACGTGTTTAATAATGAAGATG